CGGGAAGCGCCAAGGGGGTCTGAAGGGGCAAGGGGCGGGGTGTGCATTATGGGGTGGTATGGTGGGAACAGCCAGGGGTGGGGGTAACACTGTGGCGGTGGCTGAGGAGTGAAGGGTTTGTGGGTCCCTGGCGGGTTGGTGATGGTGACCAGTGGGTTTGGGCATGGTGGGACTAGGGTCTCTTGAGGGTAAACCAGAGCAGGGAGGGGGACGCGGGGCTTTGGGAGGGCGGTGGGGCGTGGCAGGGGGGAAAGGCAAGGTGGTAGCCAGCCGCCACCAAGCACGGGCAGATCCACGAGCAAGAGCCAAGAGAAACAAGAGGTGCCAGCATGAGGAGGGGGAAAAGGTGAGCGCAAGGGGGTTGTGGGTGCCTTTCTCTGGGAAGACCCAGGTTCCCAGCTGTCCCATGGGGCTGCTGGAAACTTGCTCGGTATGAAAGCAGCATTCAGTCGCAGCAGTGTTTGTCAACTGGAGAAAACACCCCAGTCACCTTAGCAAACCCAGACCAGAAGGTTGCTCGCCCTCCAGAGGGCTTGCACTGCCTTGTCCACCCGCCGTCCCCTTGGGTGTGGGGTTACCTGGGTCCACCATGGAGGGATCCCCTGGATCCCATCCCCGTGCATGGAGAAGACCAGCAGCCTCCCTCTCAGACAACTCCTACTTGAGCCGAAACCCCTGCAGAGCTGCAGTTTCAGGGGACCGAGAGTCTCCCGTGTTTTCCCAAAGCTCTTTGTTTTGTGGGGGTTTTTTGTCATGGCTTTTCCTTTAGGTTCCAAGACTTCTGTTAGGAGCCGTTGAGAAGCATTTTGTGGCCCGGCTGTTCTGGACCAAGCAGCCCATTTGCAGGTGCGTTTACTAACGGTGGATTTATGTGCACGTGTATTTATTCCCCACTTTCTCCCCAGGATGGGAACTCGTCTCTGTACGGAGGAATTTCGTGACGGAGGAAATCACGTAGGTAAGCTGGGGGACAGTGAGAGAAAGGAAACAAACAAAAAAAATAACCGACCCCCAAAAGCAGCAAAATTATAGATGATATATTACAATACAACTTAAAAAATTACTTACAAAACATTATACAGGCTGCCGGCTCAGCACCAGGGGGCACACCTCTGCTTTTTAAGAAAACTAAAAAGCAAAGACCGGTGCCCCTCTAAACTTCTTTTTATCGGATGGCACCAAGAACATAATTTTTTACTTTTTTTTTTTTTTTTTTTTCCTCCCCTCCCTCCTCCCCCAAGCGCTGGGCTGGGTTAATCTCCATGCAGAAATTCACTTCTTGGGTTTTTTGGGGAAATCCAAAATTACGCCGCAGGGACCAGTATTGATGGTTGTATCCACTCCTTTAAATAATATAATTAATTTAAAAAATAAAAAACACAGTAACAACACAACGTCCTTCTTCCTCACTTCCTTCCACGGGCTAGGGATAGGCTTTGGCAGAGGCTTTTTCAATACACCCATTGTAAGAGGGGTGATTTGCAATGACTGGAGGTAGGACTGAGGACAGGGACTGGAACCCCTTTGAGGGTTCAGCGGGGAGGAGAAGTAGCACCCTGATGGGACAGGGAAGCTTTCTTCAAATTAATTAGCCTTGATTAGCAGAGTAGCGAAGGCAAGCGGCTGCGCCACCTATACGAGTCAGGCTGGGCCAGACTACGGAGCCCAGGTAGGTCGGTGCGTTGTCGGAGGTGGACAGAGACCGTTGCTGTGGAGTTGCGCACAAAGGAGGTAACGCTCCTGGGGACAGGTGCGTCCCTGGGTCCGGTCCCTCCTGACCCTGAGAGACCGGCTTTGAAGCACGAGGGTTGCCGTGGTGCAAATCCACGCGGGGAGAGAGGTACGAGAGCTCTCTTAGTGCTAATCCCAAACACGTGCTAGCGGTGCTTGACCAGCCTACCAGCGTCGTCCCGGGCTCGCTCGCCGCGTTAGGCTTTAACACCCTTCAGCTCTCCAGGCAGAAAGCAGACCCTAGTACTGTTGCCTCTGCTTGGCGGGTGCGCTCCTCGAGGGGTTCCCCCTGGGGCGGTGGGGCTGGGGAGCATGGAAAATAAGCCCTGGGAATGCTGGGAAAGAGCACTGGGATGCGGAGGGAGATACTGGGAGGAAGGGAGCACTGCTGGGCGCCAAGGGAGGTAGCCAGTGGATCCGTTAAAAATTTTCCTCTCTGTCTCTCTACATATTAAAATATAGATTTATTCTAAGCGTTAAAGTCTCTTTGGCATCTCTCCAGACCCTGGCCCCTGTGGGGGCGGCAGCAGCGGCGTGTCGGTCTCGGTGCGCGTGGGCAGGGCTGGCACCTCGGCTCCTCGCAGCAGCAGGTGGGTGACGTGATGCGAGGGGGAGGCGGGTCCTGCTGCTTCGCCGCTCGGAGGCGGTGGGGAGATGCGAGGAGGCAAGGTTTGCCCCGCTGGAGGCCAGGGTGTGGCAGGGGGGGGGGGGGGGGTTGGGGGGCGGTTTGGTCCTAGCCGAGGAAACAGACTGGGCCCACCTCGAACCCGAACCTCTGGCCGGGCTCACCGAAGTCCATGACGCGCACGTCCAGCAGCGGGAGCTGCTCCAGGCGGGGCGTGCTCACCTCTAGCACCGTCCGGCTGGAGCTCTTTCGTGCCTGCAGGGGAGGGGAGGCAGGCAGACGGGTCAGGGGCTGGGGGCCACCGGGAGCACCAGCCTGGGACAGGTTCACGCAGAGCAAACCCTTCTCTTTATCCAGCGGCCTCCGCTGCTCCGGCATTACCCAGGCTCAACCCTGGAGTGTCTCTGTCCAGCCACCCCTTCTCCCCGGACCATGGCATTTCACTGGATCGTCCCCCGCCGGGGCATCACTCATGGCACCCCCAAAGGAAAGACCCTGCCTTCTCACAGTTCTTCCATCCCGCCATCTTGGTGCCTTCCAGTGCCTCCTCTCTCCTCGCTACCCGTTTGTGCCTTTGCCCATCCCTTTTTCTTCAACTTTCTCTCCCCATGACTCCTCCAGCCCCATGTATCTTGCTTCCGCTTACGTCCCTCTCCCCACCGTCCACCCCTGCCTGCTCCCCTGCCGCGCTCACCGCGCAGCCGTCCATCACAGCTTTGATGTAGGGACTGGTGTCGTAGCTGAGCTCCTCCTCGTTGGCAGCCAGGAAGCGGAGGGCACGCTGGTGGTCCCGGGAGGTGGTGCTGTGCCAGGCCACCGAGCGGTGGCAGTGGTAGGTGAAGTTCTGGCGGGCAGAGACGCTGAGGAGCCGTAGGAAGGTCAGCTGCACCACGCCGAGGGGCTGGCTCTCCGAGTCCACGTAGGAGAACTGCGGGAGCGGGAAACGAGTTAATGGAGGCCGACAGCCAGAGGCGTGTGAAAAGTGGGGCTGGAGGGGGTCTGCCGGGATCTAGACCCCCCTGGAGGAGGCAGCTGGGGAAGGGGAGAGGGTCAAGAAGGGCCGACAGGTTCAAGGCCAGGTGGGGGACATTTCTCTCTCTCCTTAGAGGAAGAGCCACTCCCGAGACAGCACCAAGGTAAGCGGCTGGTGGCGTTACAGGAGAGGACAAGGGTGTAAGTCGGAGTGCAGGCGGGGCGCCTGGGAAAGGCAGGAGGGCGTCCCAGGGGCTCAGGCAGGAGGGCGCGTGGGAGCGGGTGTTCTCAGACCACATCCTTCCTGGAATCCTCACCGGTCAGTGCCGCAGGGGGCTCAGCCCACCCCCGTGAGCCGGCCGCATCCTTACCCTGCTGCCCTCCTGGAACTGACTGAACCACCGCTGAGGCACCTCCTTCTCCCACGCCGACACCTTCACCTGGAAGAGAGGCAGCCATGAGCGAGGCGGGGAGCACCCCACCCTGCCCTCTTCTCGTGGCCGATCCCCACCACCCGAGGCTGCACTGGGACCCCGCACGCCGAGCTGCCCCCCACTTCCCCTCACCTCCTGTACGTCCTTGCTGGGAAAGACGCAGGTCTCCCCGCCTGCTGTGAAGTTGCAGTAAACCTTGAAAGAGTCTCGGGCGCAGCCCTGGTTGGGGTCAATCCAGTACTCGCCTGCGCAGGGAGGAGACGGGTCAGCACACGGGGCGGTGCTGCTGTGCTAACCGCCATCCTTCCCCTACTCGATGCTGGCGCGGCTCACCATCAGGCAGGCCCGGGTGGCTGAGCTGCAGGTCCTGGCAGGTGCGGGCAGGGTTGTCCCGGGTTCCCATCGGGCGCCGCAGCCCCTCGATCTCCTGCTTGAGGGAGTTGAGGGAGCCGAAGATCTCCTCCATGCCGTCGGTGTAGTCGCGGGCTGCCTGGTCGGCGGCTGCTCTGTCTCCGTCCTCACCCTCCTCTTCGTCCACCAGCTTGCTGGCGTCGATGGAGCGCTTGCTCTTCTTGGGCAACTGGCTCGGAAGGGGCTGGATCACCTCCCCGGGGGGGCCCTGCGGCAGGCACAGCACTGTCAGCACCCGAGCACAGGGGGCTGCGAAGCCCCAGGGCCCCAAACCGCCCCGTGCTCAGGCTTTGAGATAGGAGACATCCCTCCGCATCCATTCCTGGGTGTCATTTTACCTACTGAGGAGCTGTTCCTACATCCCCCCCCATCCCGTGTCATCCTTTCCCTGGCGCCAACACTTGAGCCACTCACCGGGTGTCCGGGGGGTCCCGGGGGTCCACGTTCACCTTTGGGTCCTGCTTGGCCCTAGAGGAAAGAGAACACTCGCAGGCGTTAGCCTTCGGCAGGAGTGGAGGTGGGC